ATTTTTGGCTGCTAGCTGCTGCAGGTTGCATCTTTCTTTCTTTGCTGCAGAAGATCGCGGGATCTGGACAAGTTCCTTCACAAGCCAGGAAATCTCGTCGGTGTTAATTTTGAGTTCCTTTGGGGAATTAAATGGACCAGAACCACGAGAAGAAGCAGCTTGAATAGCCCGGCGTCATCTGCTTAAGGAATTATACGGCTCCCAAGGTGGAAGAAATTGAGGCGATACTGTAAAACTGCTGGAGTCATATGGCAGCAATGAGGCCAAGCCAATGAAGTCACGATAAAAGAATTTCCCGACCATAATTAACAACTCAATTAAGCAACGAGGCTGCCCCAATTACAGAGCGCGATCTTGGGGAGAAGGGCAGGCGGAGATTGAAAATTAGAACAGAGATGCATACAACTTCTCTCTGGCATGACGTTGATTTCAGTAAAGCTAATTTCGCAGTCGCAGGGGAATGAGAAACAAGGAAGCTATGCATCGTGCTAGTTATTGGGCGCAAATAAGAAGGCAATGGCTTTTCCAACAGAGGTAAGAACTGAAACCTTGCTCGTGAGTGATTAACGAATGACAAATTAGAATTTATGTCATATGTATTATGCATGGAATTGAGAATCCTCATGAATACTAGGATGAGAACTTGAATTGATACATGATCACGTTGACATTGAGATGTGCTTTTCTCAATGATTAGAGCATAAATTTGAAATGCATGTTATGGAATAGAGTAATTTTGTTTACATGACTGTATATGAAGAATATATGGGAATAGAATGGGTTAATTGTCCATAGTGACGATATTGTAAGAAGTACTGTTGTCAGTACTAGATGAACCATTGGGGTTGCTCTGAAACATTAATGTTTAAAGAATGAGAGCATCAAGGCGAACCAGATCCACACCAAATAGAATGGTACCCTTTGTGGTAACCATAAGATTGCCACTCAATCCTCTAAGAATGACGCTAGTTTCCCAATTAAATTTGAGAAAAACTAGGTCAGATGACACGAAAGTGTTACAGCAAGTTTAACATAGTATTGTGTTAACTTGATTAAAGAAGAGGGAGCAAGTTTAACATAGTATTGTGTTAACTTGATTAAAGAAGAGGATTTGGCAATAACAATCGCTTAGGTGATGACAGAGGTTAGCCTTAATGGTAACTCTGGAGAATGGTTCCTGGATACTAGCGCCCCAAGGCATGTCTGTGATAGACGATCTAAGATGGATTCTTTTTTGGGACGTGTGTGCCCTTGTAAAGAATTAGAATATCTAAAGTCACATTCCCATATTATTCTCGAACGCTTGAGAAATTTTGTATCCAAGCAAAATGACCCATAACATATGTGGTTAGAGAATTAGAATCAATAGATCTGATTTATGTTGATATGGGTAAACTTGATGGAAAAGACAATAAATAATGTATTGCTCTTTAGAGTGCTCTGATTATTTGTCTAACTAGTTATTCGAAATAGTTTCAAATGTCTAGTTGCATTATGATTGCACTGATTATTCGATATATGGCATGCATGTGGTAGCGTTAGAGAATCAGTGACATGATAACTAGAAGAGCATATGAGTGTGTAAGTTATTGTAAAACACATAAGCCTATGAAACAAAATACTCATTAGTTTGTGAAAACCATTGATGTCAATAGATTCCATTTATATTAAGAAATAGTGGGGGTGATATCCTGCCTACTATTAGAAATAATGGATAACTAGTGGGGGTGATGAATCTGAGTATGAGCTCAGAAGAGACAAATGAACGATAAATCACGAAAAGATTTTGGTTATGAATTTGTTATTTACACCCTAAGAAAGAAAGATCCTACAAGTCTGCTAGAAGTTCGAACTTCCATAAAGATGCAGAATTGTGGGAGAATCCATTATTAACGAAATGTAATTATTGGAGTCTAATAAGACTTCAAATCTTGTAGAGTTGCCTCTTGGTCGAAAAGTCTTGGGTAATATATCGATAGAAACGAACAAGATTTGGCATCTTTGAGAATTACCTCTTGGCAATGAAGTCATGGGTAATAAATGGATTGTTAAAAGAAAAGTGAAACCTATTGGTTTAGTTTATGAGTATAAGGATCGCCTAATAGCTAAGGCTTTAAGCGAAAAGGAAAAATTGTAAATTTTCTTGTTATCTATTCACCATATGTAGAATAACATCCATGTATGTTCTGATTGCAAGTGTTGTGCGTCAGATGGATTGTTAAACATGTTTCTGTGAATGGTGATTTAGATAGGAAAATCTACATGGGACAACCTATAGGGTTGTTATTCCTGAACATGCTTTTAGAGTCTATGGTTAGACAAATCATTGTAAGATTTGAAAATGACTCGAAAACAATGGCGTGAAAAATCAGATTCTCTCTCATGGTTTTAAGAATGACAAGTGCATTTAGTACAACTTTGAGAATGACACTTGCATTGTGAATGACACATAGATCTTTGGTACAAAGACTTGTGATGTCAATATTGAAAAACCATGATGGTTGAGAATTTTGAATGTGAAGGATCTAAATGAAACAAATGTTATGCTTAGAGATCCTAATAACTAGGAAAATACAAGATGTACACCTGCATACATGTTTGATGATGCTAGTATAAATATTTAAATAACACCTAAGACGGTGTAAGAAAGTTAGAATGTACTAGCATTTACAGTCTGCGAGAGGCAGCTAATAAACATGAGACCCGATTTAGTGGGGGGGTACTTGGCAGGCTTATTGATTGTCCTAGTATGAAGCATTGAAATGCTATTGAAAAGGGTCATGAGACACCTTAAGTGAATAGTAGGCCTTGATATATGTTATCAATGGTTTCTTGCTGTATTGGTAGGGTATAGTGATGCGGATTAGAAGCTATGTCTTGGAAGTCTAAGAAGTAAATGATCCTGGCTCAATCAACTAAGAAATCAGAAATGATAGAGCTAGCGATGGCTAGTAAAGAGAAAAGTTGATTGAGAGGGTCATTACTAGAGTTTCCCTTATGGGAAAGACCGATCCCTCCGGTAGTTGATTCAGTCTGATAGCGCCGCAGCTATTACTAAAGAAGGGAACCGGTTCTAGAACGAAAAGAGACGACAAATTTGTCATAAGCACAGTACTGTAAGAGAACTCCTAACGATAGGAGCAATGAGGGTGGATCCTGTAAGGTCCTTAACAGAATCTAGCTGATCCTTTGACGAAAGGATTATCTAGAGAGAAAGTCCAAAGTACCACCAAGGGTATGAGACTTATGCCTACCGAACCACGGACTACAAGTGATGGTAACCCGACCCAATAGACTGGAGATCCCAAGAAATGGGTTCAATGGGTAATAACAAGTCATGAGTAGTAAGCGAAAAGTTCATGCATAGTGAAGCATGAATCCCAAAGCCTTGGAGGTTGAGTTAAACTCTTAATGAGATCTATACTCTATGTGGAGTGAAGTACTTTATTTTGGGGGGTACTTTTGATAGACTCACCTATGTGAATGTGGGAGTGGGGCCGCTCCCTATGGAACTTTGGAGGCACAAAGTTGCTAGAGCGTTCACTAAACTGGGATAACGTGCATGGTCATAAACGCACGGCCTATGAGAGAATATCACTCAATGAAAAGATCCGGTGTGCTACATTGTCTGAGATAGGGTTCAAGACTACGAGTCACCCTTATGAAATCGGAAGTGTAACCACTACGCTAAGGTTCAAATCTTCGCGATACCTTAGCTTATGCCCGATCTTATGGAACTGTTGATGCTCATAGATAGTTTCAAACTATTCAAGTGGGGGATTGTTGGGATGAATAGCTTTGAAAAGCTATAATGAAATTCCTAATTAATTATCCAGTATTTTCCCATAATACATAAATAAGATGGATAATTAATAAAAGGAATATTATGGAGATAATTAGGAATAATTATCTTAATATATTATATTTTAATTATGAGAGTAATTATCTTCCTAATTAAAATATGACTTATTCCCAAAGAAAGAGGGAATATTCTGGGTTTTCTGCTCCAAAAATAGGAGACGCCCCAGACCCTCTAAGCACACCTCAGAGAGCAGAAACACGAGATAGAGAGTGAGTTCATAGAGCTCAAGTTTTTCGCACAAAACCGATGAGCAACAAAATAAGAGTGGCTGTTTTATCCTGGAGGCGACCGGCTGATAGTCTGCTGTGCGCAATACGAGGCAGTGCCGCGAATGTCTTAAAGAGAGCGACCTAGTCCGCGACTCAGCCAGATCGGTAACCCTAATTTTTCCTGTTCGGTTTTTAACATTACGAACCTCCCAATCCTCTCTATCCTTGGCCGGAGCATCAGTAGCAAGTTTGGTCAAGGTTCCATCAAGAAGTCCAAAAAGGCCGGCGAACAAAAAGGCGGAGTTGCATCTCCCAAAGGGCAAAGTTTTTGCCATTAAACCGAACTGCAACCGTGTCAAGCTTCGATGCATCCATAATGAAGCAACCCAGTAGAACAAGAAGAAAAAAAAAGGTCCGAAAATACCCAGGTCAAAGGAGAATCGGGACGCGACACAAGCAACAGAGATCAAATTCCAAAGCTAGCAAAATCAATCCTCAAAAGCCAAAGGAAGCCAAACGCAAGCAGTAGATAACAAACTCCAAAGATAGAAATATCAATCCCCAGAAGCCAGCAACGAGACAAGAAAGTGCCACCAAAAACCAAGGCCGCACAAATCAGAAGACATACTTGGACGGGGACCCAAAAACCGTTCGGCCGCAAGAACAGGGATGTGGTCAACAATGAAAGCCAAAGCTTCAGCAAAGCAAAACCCAAGATTCGAGAATAGGCTCTTATACCATGTTGAACAGGATAACGAGAAACAAATAATAACAAGAACATCGAGATTTACGTGGTATCCTCAACGTATTGTTGAGATTAATCCACGGAGAGGAGCAACCTCTCAGAGTCAATTGTATTCCACCGAGAATCCTTAGGTTACATATATCGGCTAACAACATATATATATACCAGCCGAACCAACCCTATCTCTAGGCCCAAACGGAAAAGGAATTAACCTTAACCAATACTACTAACACAAGGATAAAAGGCCAAATTACAATGGACTACCCATAACTACTAACAGGGTTCTGATCAAATTGTTCCGCTTGGCGAGAGTTGGTAGTATTTGTGGATGTTGCGACGAAGACCCACCTCATGGGGCGGGAGGATGAGTTGTGCATGATCAGTTAGGTATGGTGGTGGTGGCTTCTATCGTGTTCATGGTGGAGTTGTTAGCCCTCTTAGATGCGATGCGGTGATGTCAGTTCAGGGGTCTTTGTTCAATGATTTTTGTAGCAGATGCTTATGTGGTTCTCATGAAGGTTTAGGAGAGGCAGCTTGATGATGCTCGGGGTGAGACGGTGTTGGAAGAGATTTGTGCTTTGCGTGACTTATTTGAACGGTTTGTTGGTCGTAGGCATAATAACTAATAAGGTTGCCTAATTGATGGCAAAAAAAAAAAAAAAAACTCTTCCATAGTTCCATTCGTTTGTGGGGTTCAATTTTGTTTAATGGTTTTTTTTTCAGCTAAGTAACTTTTTTATATCTGGTTGTTTCTTGTTTTATGAGTGAACTTTTGACAAAAAATCAAAACGACCAAATCACCTGCTAATTAACTATTGGAACAAAATAAAGAAAGTGAACGCGTTTAGATACTTGGAAGCAAAATAAATCATCTTTGTCTATTTCATCCACCAAATCATATCCAAATTATTAATAATGTATCCAAATTATCACTAATCCATTTTTGGATGGAAAATACAATTATTAATTACTTTCCTACTCCTCCTATCTATAATTAGTAGTCAATTAACAAGTGAAATATACAATTTTCTTCAAATCAAAAATTGAAAACATTCTCTTAGTGGGAGGCAAATTCAGAAAGCCTGAAAGAGCAGTTTATCGTATCAAATGAACAATTCCAAATATTGGAATAAGAAATCGGGGGTTTTCTAAATATGAAATTGTCTCATCTCCATCGTGCATCCATACAAACCTTTTCCTAATTCCTTCCTACCCAATCATATAACAAATCCCCATTATATATCCACTAGTAGCTAGCCCAATTGTTTATTTTCCCCCTCTCTTCCCCCTTGATTATAAACCAAGGGAATTTGCTTATGTCTAGCTAGCCATATACCAAAATCATCCATGGCATTCTCAAGAAATATTCATCATCACCAACCAAAAACATCCCCTCCATCCTCCAAAATACCCATCAACAACAACAACAATCATTACTCCTCTAGTAACCAAAAGCTCTTCATCACTTGTCTTTCCTTCCTCTCATTCGCCCTGCTCCTCCTCATTCTCTCTTTCCGTCCCAAACCCTCCAGTGAGTCCGCCGACTCACTAGCGTGGCTGGGAAACCGCCTCCAAGCTATCGTCAGAAACGATGTAGCGCATCGGGATGCCGATACAACAGCTAGAAGTACTCCTCCTCAAAAAAAGGTCGCAGCAGGAGCAGGCAGGACGAGGATCGGGCTCGTCAACGTAGACGAGAATGTAATGCGCTCCTACGAAGCCCTCAGGCTGGCAGAGGTTGTCAACGTTGACTTTCAACGTGTATCTGCCAACCTGACGTGGAAAATGTTCTTCCCTACGTGGGTCGATGAGAATGGGCCCCCGGACAGCAACAACAATTGCCCGGAGGTGCCCATGCCGAGGCTCGACGAGCCTCGGTACAAAGACCTGGACGTGGTGGTCGCAGAGGTGCCGTGCGGGGGAAGCAACAACGGGAGCGAAGGGATCAGGGACGTGTTTAGGTTGCAGGTCAACCTGGTCGTGGCGAATCTCGTGGTTGCCGCGGCGGGGAATGGGGATCGAACGGTCCACGTCGTTTTCATCGGGTCTTGTGGGCCGATGCCGGAGATCTTCAGATGCGATGACATGTTGACGCACGTAGGGGATTATTGGGTGTACCAGCCTGATTTGAACCGGCTGAGGGAAAAAGTGTCGATGCCTGTCGGGTCGTGCCAAATTGCTCCTCCTTTTGGACCTGCAGGTTAGTGGTTTTGTTTTCCTTTTAATTTAATTTTACCCCGGTTTTGGGGTTATCTTGGTTTGATTACTAGGATTTTGTTGATTTGATGAACTATGAAATGGTTTGAGGGTGAGATTCATGAATAGATTTGGACTATAAATACCGATATGTTTACACTTCTACCATAGAATTCATGAACCGATAAACTCTTTTCTTCATGTAGTCGTTAACTGTGACCTAATATTGGCCTGTAATTGCTAATTCTCTAAAAAGAATTACAAATATGGTACTTAAAATCTAGTGGTTACTGATTTACCCAATATAATATATATATATATATATTTTGTTGTTGTTGTGAAAAGGCAATATTATAATGCTTGGGTACATACCCATATGGTTATTTCCCGGTAGTTAGCAATGACCTTTAATTTTCTTTCATTGGTTTATTGCCAGAAAACTACTTAATTTACACGTAAAACCTTAGTAACTTTACATAAACACTCACTAAATGAGAATGTATATTTATTTAGCTGATTTTCTCTTTACACGGTTGATTTCATAAGAAAATACCTTAAGGGCTAGTTTGGTCCTTCTGTAACTTTTGCAATAACAGTTTTAGATTGTAAATTTTAAAAAATATTTTTAAAATATAGTTAAGCAATCAACTGATAAACTATTAAAAGTATTTTTTTTTATTAATATCAAAGGTAAAGTAAAATTATTTCTAATATAAATAAGGAAAAATAAAGGAAAAATTAAAAATAGTCAAAATGTATATTGTTGAATTTATTATATATTAAAACCATAAGAATAATTACGTAATTTGAAAATAAATTTTCGCATAGGTTATGTTTTTATGTTATATAAAGCACCTAATGACCTTTTCAAAAATCAGACTTAAAAAAAATTTGTCCGGACTTCAACCTATAAATCATAAAAACACTTCTAAAACTCGGGTAATGCATAATTAGTTTCAAACAACAAACAACCTTTCATGTGATTCACTCAATTGACAGACAGATACATACATACGTGCAGGAAAAGAATCAGGAAGATCCAATTTCCAAGCCCAGCCCAATCACCATCAAAAGCAAGCCTACGTAACAGTCCTCCACTCCTCCGAAGCCTACGTCTGCGGCGCAATCGCACTGGCCCAAAGCATCAAGCTCACCAACTCCACCAAAGACCTCATCCTCCTCCACGACTCCTCCATCACCCCGTCCTCCCTCGCCGGCCTCCGTTCCGCGGGCTGGACCACCCGGCCCATCAAGCCCATCCGCAGCACCTTCGCCCCCAAAAACTCCTACAACGAGTGGAACTACAGCAAGCTCCGTATCTGGCAGATCCAAGACTACGACAAAGTGGTCTTCATCGACTCCGACCTCTTGATCCTCCGAAACATGGACCACATCTTCCAGTACCCGCAGCTCTCCGCGGGCCCCAACGACAGGCACCTGTTTAATTCGGGGATCATGGTCATCGAGCCCTCGAGCTGCGCGTTCCAGGACCTGATGACCAAAACGGACCAGGTCGCCTCCTACAACGGAGGCGACCAGGGTTTCTTGAACGAGATGTTTACGTGGTGGCATCGGCTGCCGCGGAAGGTCAACTGGCTCAAGGCGTTCGAGGTGAAGGGAGATGGTACGGATGTCGAGGATGTGAGTCGCCGGCCCGGTGATGAGGTTTATGGGTTGCATTTGCTGGGGATGAAGCCGTGGATGTGTTATAGGGACTATGATTGTAATTGGGATTCGGTGGATCATCATCAATTTGCGAGTGATGCAGCTCATAGGAAGTGGTGGGAGGTTTATGATGCTATGCCTAGGAAGTTGAAAGGTTTTTGTGGGTTGAGTAGGGAGGTGGATGAGAGGATTAGGAAGGGGAGGAGGGTGGCAAAGAGTAGGAAGTTGAGGAATGGAAGGTGGAGGATTAGAGTGAAGGATCCTAGAAGAGATCGTTTGATCAAGGGATGAAGAGAACGCAAAATTAGTTTTGTACTCGAAAAGTGGGTGGTAGTATGGTAGAGTAATTTTGTGGCGTAATCCAATTATTCATATCGATGAAGTTTTATATTGGTTTGAAGCAGATTTTTCTAGACATGGTAATGGGTAGATTCATTGGATAATTTGACCTAACTGTCATGACTCATCTGAGTATTGGGTCAGATTGAATGGATTTATATGCACTTTAAATGATTTCGGATTTGGTTTGGTCTGAATTGGATCCTATTTGGTCAATTCATTTGGGTTAGACCCAAATGGATCTAATTGGTTCTTGATTATTGTATAGACAAAAAAATAATATCAACCATTTCATTAACTAACTTCAATCTAATTATACACTTTTTAGCGTAGGTGTTTCCACCTTTTATTTTTTTCTTAACAAAAAATAAGACAAAAATTACATTATAAACGTATACTCATTTTCTTTTGAATTTCTAATGAGCCAAATTTAGACCAAACTAAAAATTTGGGTATGAATATGTCGTGAAATTAAAATTATCTAAACTTAATTTTTCCTATAATAAGATGGGTTTGAATATACCCAAACATCGAATCCTTTTTACTATCTCCAATTTTTTCTATCAAATCCCTGATACGCCAATACTGTACATTTTCGTAAACGTTAAACACTAATCTAAAAACATGAATAAATGGAGAATTACTTGTTTTCTAATCATAGCGGTGATGTATGGGAAAATAAAAAGGGTTCAACAATACTACAGATAGTAAAGTTTTAAACGGATAAAGTACATACGTCCTTATATACGCGTATTAAACAAATTATTGAATAACTATGGTTGGAAATTGCCAAGACACATCTAACTTTTAGGAGGAAAATATTGCCATATATGTCTAAATTAATTATCAAACTCCCCACCTTGAGGTCAGGGATGGCGATGGGGCAGGTCCGGAGCGGGTTTCTTGGTACCCAGACCCGCCTCGTGGCAGGTCGGGTCTAGGTCGGTAATTTATCACGGGTAACGGGTCGGGGCAGGTCGACCCAATGGGTAAGCAATTTATATGAAAAATATTAGAAATATTCGTTATTTTTATTATAAGACCATAGAAACAAACAATATTATGATAAATATAGTAAAATTATTGGAGAAATTGAAGTTTTCACTAATTTACAACTTTATTATAGCTAAAATTTGATTTAGTAAAAGGAAAATCCTAAGTAATTTGAATAAAATTACGTGTAATTTAGGCAAGAACGGGTCGAGAATGGGGCGGGTCAGGGCAGGTCGGGTCGATGAGAGTACCCATTCCTGCCCCGCCCCGCCTACGGGGTGGGTCGGACCCGTCCCAACACATGTAGAACAGGTCAGGTACAACGGGTCAGGTCAAATTGCCATCCCTACTTGAGGTGGTATACGAGTGTTCTGGAACTACAACATTTTTTTGTTCTTATTTTAATATAAATGAATTTATTACACTTCAAAAAAATCTACAATTGGAATAAAACTCTAATCAATGGGTAGTTTAGTTGGATAGTGGATACATTGGAAGACACTTACTTAAAAATGTAGACAACGAATTGTGGATATTTATGAAAATAATAATTATATTAGTCGGTTATTTTTATATTGGTATATGGTGACTACTTCGGTACACTCACAAAAATGAGTGCGTTCAATGCACCCAACTCAAAAACTAGTCTTAAGGTGCCGAATTTTGAAATTTAATTTGTAGAATTAGTGTAATATGATGATATAACATATGATAACAACTAATTAGCGGATTACCCTAAGCCCTAGAACTCCAATTTTGAGTTTTATCCCTAAACCCCAAATTGTAAACCCTAAATCTAACCCTAAATCTGTAAACTCTAAATCTTTCAAATTAAAGTAAATCTTTAATGGTTTTTGTGTAAATTCATGTGCCTTATGGTTCATCACATCATAAGTGATGATTGACATCATTTTGACATAAATCGCATGTTTAAAATGACGATTATGAAGCGAGTGCACTGAATGCACCCTAAAAAGTGAGTGCATTGAAAACGCCACCATTGGTATATTTCTATATTATTAGTTTTAATTAAAATAATTATATATATATATATATATCCTGAAAAAGGACAAGGGTAGTTTCGAATCCTTGCTTAGCCACTGATATCACCCCTCATGTTATTGACCTAATAATACTTAAATTTAGTTATATTCATGTTAGGTTTGATGTCTCCAACATATTCTCCTATTACTCCCGAATTAACATGCATAAAAAATAGATCATGCACCATTTCTCATTATTGTTATCTTAGATTTGATAGGTAACATAACTAAAGTTCACCATACTCAATCACACATTCAGACTCTACGCAGGGTTGTCTATGTACAAAGTAAAACATGTGTTAAGTAAAATTCTACTTGAGGTAATATTATATTTTGGCTATCGATTCTAAATTCAATACACGATTATCTAATTACAACTTACCTTATACAAGTTTTCCAATAAGAGACCTATAATCAAACTCATATTGAAGACTCCTTGATTGAACAATTTATGGATGTAATCAGTTAGATTAAATAAAAGTGATCAAATTTAAAAAGCTTCCTCAGAATTTACTATACTTCATGTTAATCTTGGATCAGACAAATAGATTATATCGTGTTTTATTTATGGCAAAATACACTTGTATAGCCATAACTTTCACGTTTGTGACAAATATAGTCATAACTATCCGAAAACTTCCTTGCCATTCCGGCCGCTTGAGAGGCGCTGACGATTGTCAGATCCAGTGGACTTGTGCTTGGCGTAGATTAGCTGCTGGAAATTGAAGGAAGTCATGGCGACCAGGTCCAGGACCTTCTTCGTGATGGAGTATGTGAAGAGCGGGGAGCTCTTCGCTAAAGTAGCGAAGGGGAAATTGAAGGAGGAGACGGCGAGGAAGTATTTCCAGCAGCTGATCTCTGTCGTCAATTTTTGCCACAACAGAGTGGTTTCGCGTCGGGGGTCGATGTTCACCTCGAAGTGCTCGACGACGGCGATTATGGAGCGGATGGAAGGGTTCGGGAAGGGGATTAATTTTAGGGTTGGGAAGGTGAAGGATTTCAAGATGAGCTTGACGGGGGAACAGAAGGGAAGAAACGGAGGCTGACAGTGACGGCGGAGGTTTTCCCGGTCGCGCCATAGGTGGCAATCGTTCAGTTCTCGAAGTCGGCCGGCGACACTTTGGAGTATGCGAAGTTCTGCGAAGAAGATGACAGGCCGGTGCTAAAGGACATTGTGTGGGCCTGGCAAGGAGACAAAATCTGAAACCCTCTGGCCTTCGCCGCTGCCGTCCTCATCATCGCCGACGTCAAACACCTTCGTCACCGTCGTCCTCAATCGCCCGCGTTCTTTTCTACCTTTCTTCTCGTCATTTTCTGAAAGGGAGAAAGGAGAGAGGGAGAGAGCGGATCGGCACTAGTTGGGGAAGAATAGGGATCGATCATCATTTTTGTTGGTTTTCGGGAAACAATTAGAGAAAAACGAGGGAGATAAGGGTTGCGCTGCTAGGGTTTTTAAGGGTTTCTTTTATATTTTACTAAATAATTTTTTGCATTTTTTGGTTTTTTTATGTTAATCCACGTGTCCGACGAGAAATTGCTAGCTCAGCTTTTCCATCTGTACAAATCAGATTGTTAAGTAACACCATTAAAGCGATGGACGGAAATGGCTATTTTGTGTTTTCGGATAGTTATGGCTATATTTGTCACAAACGTGAAAGTTATGGCTATGAAGGTGTATTTTATTTATCATCACTAACTCACCCATAATTTATTGATGACCTCTCTCTCGTCGTCATCAATCACTTCCTTTTTTTTGTGATCACTTCCCAATAAATGAAGCATATCGATGATATCATCATATTGAAAAAAGAAATCCCCCAACATCCCCATTTACTGTAGACCAAGAGACCTTTTACTGTGCTTAGTGACTCATAATTACTGTTTTGACTGGGAAGGGGCTCGGGTGTGGGCATGCACATGGTGTATCTCTTTGGTTCCTAATGGGATCTTTGTAGTTCAGTTGCTTTAGAGCTCTGGTGTTCCTTCTGGTTGGCCGTCCTCTCCGTCCACCTTACACGCATTGGTCACTCGGCAAACCAGAGAGAAAGCTACTGCTACTTTAGGGTTCACTTTTTGCTTGACATGACCAGAGCTGCAGAAAGAGTGTGAGATCTGAGTTTGACGTGAATAGAGAGGGTGAAAGAGTGAGCTGTAGTATGTGCCTTGAGAGACTCGCTGTCGCGGTGTTCAATGCACACATAGAGGCAAAAAAAAGTCTACTGTTTACTTTTTCTCTGTTCTTTCTTTCTCAGCCACATGTATTTCCTTTATTAAAAAAAGAAAGCAACTCTCTCTTTATATCCAGTTTAGAATGGAAAGCATCCATTCTCCTCTGTTTAAATTCTCTCTTCCCATCTCGTTCATGGAACTGTTACTTCACTGATCGAGCCAAGCTTTGTTGTTCTTAAATTCACTGCCCGAGCATCGTCATCTTGGTCGCAGGTGCTGGACCACCAGCTGGTGGATGAGATAGCTGCGAGAATCCCTCTCTCCCATGAATGCGGAGCTTTGGATCGTAGAATCTCTTTTTTTCCTCTATTTGAGGCCGGGACAACGATTTCGTTCCTTTCTGTGTTGTTTTCGAGCCAGTGGTGGTCTTGTGGCCTTTTAGTATGTTGCGAACACCTTCTCTGTTTTTGTGGGCTTTAGGTTTGTTTTGCGTCTACCTGGAGTTGACATATCTATTATTTGCCATTTCCTGGAATCAATATGTATTCGACGCCAAGAGAAAAGATCTGGGATTTCAGATAAAAAAGCGGGAACTTCGAACAACTTTTGTATGAGTACTCTACAATAGACTGCGAAAGGATTCTCTATACTTCCTTCCATGGACAAAGCTTGGTTCGGTTTCTACTTCATGAATTTATGATTCCATCCTTTTATATCCCTCTTTTTAAAGATTTATAGTATTTTCTAATGCACTTGGCCATATTCTTTTTGCTAGGATTTCGACGACTGGGGAAGTTGATAATCATACCAAAATTGCACACATTTCTATCAAGAATTTTGGTGGGCTCAATGATGGATCTGCCATCCGTTGTTGAAGGTTCAACAATGATGTGGGTATCCGAAATCTTGCGGCGACCAAGGTATTGATGTATTCACTCCTTTAGGTTTTTATATTGTTCTTGCTTCATTTTTTGTGGGACGATTTCAACGTTTACAACTTCTTTTGCTTCAATGATCAGTGGTGGAGTTACTGTAACTACCGCGGAAAGAAAGAGACGAGCCATTATAGGTAAATGGTTTTCAGATGTTAACATTTGGTGAAGGTTGTGACAAAGTTGTCGCAATCCAAGTCATTTCTTCCATCCTTTTGACGAGTGAGGCGATATAGCGTTGGGTTCAAGAACTTCAATATCACCAAGAATTCCTTCAGTAAGTCATCTCGATTCTCTGTTTTTATTTATTTTTTGCGTGTATCTAACTATTTTCCTCATCTTCCCCGATCTGTGAGGTGGGCGACGGGAGTATCGTGTTTCAATCAACATATACTTCTACTATTGATCCATGGTGGTCTTGGCGGTGTGTAGTACGATGAACCCAAATCAACAAAATAGATTGAGAAATCCTACCAGAAGCTGTCTTTTTGATAGATAGGGCAGATAGAATAGATTGGATATATACAGCTCTCTAGTGGTCAACATGAGTGAGAGGTGAAGAGAGAATCCTGAGTGACCAAGCACCTCCAACCTGAAGCCAATTTGTGACATATTACAACAACGAGGAAGTTAAGGATTTGTAACTCAATCAATAAGTTTCCTTTTCACTTTTGGCACTCACCAATTACATGATTTGATTTTTGTTTGCTTTAAGTATTTAATTTATGTTCCTTTTCTGTTTAGTGTTACGTTTCTGTAGTTTTTCACTCTTCTTTCTATCTTATCTAGCAAGAACAAGCTGTTATTTGGAGTCTGGTATCTAACCAACATGCCTAGACTTTTCTGTTCCTTCTATGATGATCTGTACATGGTTTACAACAGCTGCTGATTTTGGCATGATCCACCATGGGGTAAGAAATGGAATTAGTCCATCTTTATCATCTACTTGAAGCAAAGATACAAGGAACTGTTGTGTAATCTCTGTTTTGTGATGTTTGCCTAGCCTTTGGCGATTCTGTTGTTCTAAGATTTCTTCATGAGCCATCATTTGGACTATTGAGTTGTGGGCAGTTCCATGATCCAGCTGTAGGTAGTAACTGAAATCATATGACTCGAGGATTGAAGTAAATCAGAGTTATCATTTTGCTTAGGTTCTCTTAATTAGAAATGATGCCTACATAGACACCATTATATAGTTCACTTTCATTCTCTCTTATGCTAGCATATTTGTTGTTGCAAACACAATGTAAGTTGAGCAAAGTTGAGGATGAGGAGAGGCCTTTCAACCAAGTCCATCCATAATAGGAATTTGGCACTTTGCAATACACTTGTGCCTTTTAAATTCCTGTTTGTAGTAGGCATTGCAGGATTTGCTCTTTTTATTTCTTCTTTCTTTTGCAGGTGAAAGATCTTCTTCAAGTGTGAAGTTGTTGGTTATGGAACTATGTTTTGTATGGTGATGAACGTTGGCAATTAGTGTCTTTGCTTATGTGCTTTCGGTTCTTTTTCCAGAACAGTTGGAGTTTTGTGCTTCTTTCTCTGACAGGCTGCTACTTTTACGGTCTATGTTGTCTTTCGGAATATTTGGAATGTGTATAATCTATGTGTAGGTGACTTGCGTTGTCAAATGCGATGTGTTTAGTTTTTGAATAATGTATGTACTTCGAATAATCTAACCTCACTTACCAGCCATTTTGTAATCATAAAACATGAATATCCAATAAAATGTCATTAGTTCATTCAAGTCCCAGCGCGAAGCGCGGGCAATGAAAACTAGTAATAAATAAATCATCCGTGTGGACTGTGGTAGTTATGTGTGAACAAGTATAACAAAATTACCCAGCTAATTGTTATTGGTTAGCTAGGTTAAGTGTGGATGGGATAAATACTGAAATATGACCCCATAATTTACTCTTTTAACTTTTGTCATTATGTACGATGATGATTTGGTCTATCAGTATTATGATTGGTCTTTAATTCGAAAGTGACAAATTTGAATCTTGTGAAAATAACATATAATTCTAAAAACAAACTTATATTATGGGATATATTATATTATTAAAGCCCTTCACACCATCTTATGGTAATGTGAAGTTTACTATATGCTCAATAAAAAAGATCATGGCTTGATTTTTTGTTTTTGTTTTATATAATCTCTTATGTCATTTTTTTTATAATAGTGAAGATCTTGATCTCTAAAATGACTAAGGTGGTTCCAAAGCTAGAGAGAGTCCCTAATGTGCCCTGTACCTAATTCTTGCTATCTCTTTTACGGCTTTCCGCCTCCTCTTCAGAAGCGCCATCCTTTTTGGTGACTTTATGGGCTAAATCGCGATTCATTCGGTTTCTGGGACATAATCATTGTGTAGGAGAGGTGGCCGAGTGGTTCAAGGGCGTAGCATTGGAACTGTTATGTAGACTTTTGTTTACCAAGGGTTTGAATCCCTCCTCCCAAAGAAACAGAGGGCTTCATTCAGTGACTTTGGGGGGGGGGGGGGGGGGGGGGGGGGGGGGAGGGGGGTGTCCAAGCCATCGGTGAGATACCACTTTGCAAGAGTTAGAGTTCTAACATTATGTCAGGACCTACGGGCCAAGGGACAATCTAACCTTGGCTTCGAGGGGTATTCACGTTTGGCATAAAGAAAGACCATGGCTTGGAAAGAGTTGAAAGACATGAAGATTTGCTTGAGTTTCTAGATATTTCTTTGTTTTATCATCAACAAGCAGCATAGAGTAGAATTCTTATTTGGGTAACAGGTTTAGTTGAAAAAGTTACATGACGAAAATTTTGTGTTTTATAACGTTTTAGAAATTCGTTAGGAACACTAAAGAAATACTCATTTCTCCGATAAATCCAAATTATTCCTTCTACCAAAAAAAATTATTCCTCAACAACGTTCATTACTCTTTTGGTCGGTCACTGAAATTACTGAAAGTTTCACATTTGGTCACTAGAAGTATTTTATTCCATTCGTGGTAATTTAGATTAGCTAAACAGTCCAAGTTTAGTCACTCTCCGTAAACTTTCGTTAGTCTTCATTAGCAGAAGTTACCAATCACCTAATTTAACCCAAAAAGCTTAAATTACGTCCCGCCATTTAAGATACCCAACTGATAATTGCCGAAAATGTACTAATCTTGTGTGCTTAATGTGATTATCGTTAGAGCGTGGTATAAGATCCAACATAACCTTCTCCCAACAATTCAAGTTATTGGGACCAACTGGTTTATGATATGGTATCAGAGCTGGTTTTACCAAGTGGTCGTGCGTTCGAATTTCCACGACCCCCAATACAAACAGTTGATTAAAACACAAGGTATGATGGGTTGTGCAAACTTCAAGCCCGTGAGACACCAGTGAGATACCACTCTGCAAAGACTTAGAGTTCTAACACCATGTCAGGACCTACGGACCAAGGGACAATCTCACCTTGGCTTCGAGGGGTTTTCACGTTTGGCATAAAGAAAGACCATGGCTTGGAAAGAGTTGGAAGACATGATGTTTTGCTTGAGTTCTAGTTATTTCTTTGTTTTATCATCAACAAGCAGCATAGTGTAGAATTCTGATTTGGGTAACAGGTTTAGTTGAAAAATTTACATGACGAAAATTGTGTGTTTTATAACGTTTTTGAAATTCGTTAGGAAAACTAAAGAAATACTCATTTCTCCGATAAATCCAAATTATTCCTTCTACCAAAAAAATTATTCCTCAACAACGTTCATTACTCTTTTGGTCGGTCACTGAAATTACTGAAAGTTTCACATTTGGTCACTAGAAGTATTTTATTCCATTCGTGGTAATTTAGATTAGCTAAACAGTCAAAGTTTAGTCACTCTCCGTAAACTTTTGTTAGTCTTCATTAGCAGAAGTTACCAATCACCTAATTTAACCCAAAAAACTTAAAATACGACCCGCCATTTAAGATACCCAACTGATTATTGTCGAAAATGTACTAATCTTGTGTGCTTAATGTGATTATCGTTAGAGTGTGGGATAAGATCCAACATAACCTTCTCCCAACAACTCGAGTTATTGGGACCAACTAGTTTATGATATGGTATCAGAGCTGGTTTGACCAAGTGGTCGTGCGTTCGAATTTCCACGACCCCCAATACAAACAGTTTATCAAAACACAAGGTATGATGGGTTGTGCAAACTTCAAGCCCGTGAGACACCAGTGAGATACCACTCTGCAAAGACTTAGAGTTCTAACACTATGTCAGGACCTATGGGCCAAGGGACAATCTCACCTTGGCTTCGAGGGGTATTCACGTTTGGCATAAAGAAATACCATGGCTTGGAAAGAGTTAGAAGACATGATGTTTTGCTTGAGTTCTAGTTATTTCTTTGTTTTACATCAACAAGCAGCATAGTGTAGATTTCTTATTTGGGTAACAGGTTTAGTTGAAAAAGTTACATGACAAAAATTGTGTGTTTTATAACGTTTTATAAATTCGTTAGGTTCACTAAAGAAATACTCATTTCTCCGATAAATCCAAATTATTCCTTCTACCAAAAAAATTTATTCCTCAACAACGTTCATTACTCTTTTGGTCGGTCACTGAAATTACTAAAAGTTTCACATTTGGTAACTAGAAGTATTTTATTCCATTCGTGGTAATTTAGATTAGCTAAACAGTCCAAGTTTAGTCACTCTCCGTAAACTTTCGTTAGTCTTCATTAGCAGAAGTTACCAATCACCTAATTTAA